AATTTCATATTCATTTCTTCTTGTTGGATGACTAAACCGGATGATGGTAGAGATGGTAAGCCAGCATTTACTCAGCCTGCCTGCTAAGCCTCGGAGCTGACAAATTCTCAGCTGGTGGATCAGCTGCTTTTGTCTCCTTGACATCTTGTGGTTTAGGGTTTTCTGGGCATCTGCGTTGGTAATTGAAGTTGCAGCAGTACCAATATTGAGGTGGCTGCTGACCTTGGGTCTCATCTCCTTGATTTTCCTTGTTTTCTTTATCGTTCTCCTCTCTAGGTTGTCATCGGCGAGGAGGGCTCCATGGAACGTGGTCTGTAGCTCTGATACATATTTGTCTCACTGGTCTACCTTTCTGTCTTACACCCTGGTTGTCAGCACCCTCTATCACTTCTCCCTGCACAGGAGGGCTAGAGTACTGTGGTCGATGTCCCTAGGGTCTCCACAGGTAGAAGGGTGGGAACCGTCGCCTGAGATAGGGCCAGTGCTGCTGGGCCTGGCCTTCAGAAGCACTGTCTGATCCCTCATTCTTTCCCTCATTCTTTCCCTCATTCTCACTCTTCTGATAATCCTGCTGGTAACTGTGTGGAAGACCCCGTGGCTTGGAGAGGGTCTACAGTGGTTACAGTCTACTGCTCATGTATTTTCTGCCTTGCACTGGAATTCCACCAGGGCCTGTAGCATTTGCTGCCTCCACACCCTTTTCTCTTTCAACAACATCCAACTCCATAGCCTCTCCATTTCCTACACTGGAAGGTACGTCCTGGGGTTCTTCTTCTTTATGGAAGTCTGGTGTGCAAATACATCTTCCTTGGTGTCATTCCTGTTAATGAAACCATGCCAGTTTCTTACATCGAACCGTTTTACTGTTCTCTAAACTTTCATTGTGATGACCTTGTCCCTGCTGGCAGGTACTGCTGACTGTGAAGCCACCTAATCCACCACTCCCTGTGCCGCTGTCTGTGGTGCCCAGCTTGGTGTTGGCAGCACTGAGGGTGGGGGTGGCAGGTGGCTGTTGGGTCTCGGCCTCTCTGGCTTCCATGATGGTGACTGGGGTCAGCTGTGGTAGCTGAGGGGTGTGATGGTAATTAGGCTGCTCAGAGCTCCCACTACTGGTTAAACTCCTGGGTATTTCTTTTTAGATGTTCTGCTATTTATAAGTAACATGTCTTGAACTCAACTCATATTTCCCTCATTACTCATCTTGCTCATCCTCCCAGTTTCTTATTATTAAAACTTTAAATTTTTTTCCTGGATGGTCAGGCTCAGTTGGTTGAGCATCCTTCCAAGGACTAAAAGATTGCCAGTTCAATATCCAGTCAAGGGACATACCCAGGTTCCAGGTTCGAGGCGCATATGAGCCAACCAATTGATGTTTCTCTCGCATCGATGTTTCTCCCCTCCTCTCTCTAAAATCAATAAAAACATAGCTTTTAAAAAACTTTACTTTGGGCAGGGGCTAGAGGAATGGGTGAAAAAGATGAAGGAATTAAGAAGTACAAATTGGTTATTAGACTAATGAACCTCAATGGGAAGGGGGAAGGGAGGACGTAATGAGATAAACCAGAGAACTTCTATGCATATATGTATAACCAATGGACACAGACAATAGTGTGGGGAAGGCAGGAGGGGGAGGGATTGGGGACGAGAGGGGTCAATGGGGGAAAAAGAGGATATCTGTAATACAGTCAACAATAAAGATAAGTTTTAAAAACTTTACTTTTTTTTAGTGCTCTTTTACTTTTTTATCCCAGCAGTACCTAAGTCCAGAACTTGTTACTCCCACTTTAAATGTTTTTCTTGTATGTAAGTGTTCATCCTTTTCCCTCGCTCTGCCTAGGCCAGGTCCTTATCCACAGGGATACTGGGTTTGGAGGGTCCCATCTCTGGCAGAGTCCCACTACCTTATCCAGCCTCCTCTAGGACACTTCCAAGGTGGCTCTCCTCCTAGGCTGCAGTTTCTTTATTTTATCCTCCCCCAAAGACATTTTTTCCCCTTTTTGTTCAGATAGAGTGGGAGGGAGAGAGAGGAAGAGAGAGAGAAACATCAACATGAAAGGGACACACTGAGTGGCTGCCACCCACACGACCCAACCAGGGCCAGGGACAAACTGCAACCGAGGTACATGCCCTTAGCGAGAACCAAACCTGGGTCTCACTGGACCGCAGGCCGATGCTCTGACCGGCCAGGGCAAGGCTGCAGTTTCTTAAGGGCTGTTGAAGTGTGTGTTCACCAGCACCAGGAGGAATTTTCATTTTTTTTTGTTAAAATATTTTTGTCTTTATTGATTTTAAAGAGAGAGGAAGGGAGAAGGCGAGAGATAGAAACATCGATAAGAGAGAACATGAATTGGCCACCTCCAGCATGCCCCCCACTGGGGATTTGGCCCACAACTTGGGCATGTGCCCTGACCGGGAGTCAAACCAGTGACCTCTTGGTGCATGGTCAACCACTGAGCCACACTGGCCAGGTCAAATAGTGTTTTAAAAAACTTCCTGGTGCAGCCTGTTCTGTAATTAATCCCCAAAGAACCACTTTCAACCTCACTCCACCTCCCCCATACATAACCTTAGAAACCTTCAGAAGAAGACCCACAATTCCTGTTGCCTTTAGCTCAGCCTCCCCAGATTGTTACCACCTTTCATTACCTATAGAAATTTAGCATCTATGCTTTCCCTTCATGGTCCTATCCCACCTTTTTTCTTTAACCTCCCTCATCACCTACCTGGCCTGAAAACTTACCTCCCACTCTGTCCCCCACTTGCCCTTGTTCCTGTTATTACTCTTGCTGAGTAGTTCACTCAGGACTTGATTAGTTTAGCCTGAGTCAACCCTTCATAGGAAGCTCTCTCTCACTACCACCAAGAATCACTGTCAGTCCTTTGAATTCTAGAAGCATTAGTAGTCAACCTCTCATCTCAGCACATAAAAGTAATTAACTTGCGCCCTGGTCAGTTCAGCTCAGCGGTTGAACGTCAGCCTGCGGACCAAAGTTATTAACTTGCTTTGTATTTAATTCTTTCATAGCCATACTACTTGTCTCAACTGGATTTTAGAGGCTTATATGCTAAGAACACAGTAGGTTTATATTCCATTTGTGTTGCAAGCATAGTAGCTCTTACTTAATATTTGTCTTAATTTCATGACATGAAAATGAGTAAGTAAATAATTTTTTGTGCTTTTTTAAAATCAGGGATGTGCATTCTTTTCTCTTAATATTATTTAAGCAGTAAGCTCAGCGCTGTAGATACAAAGGTGAATAAGGCAGATCTCTACTTTGGAGCTTAGTCTGGAGGAGGACCTTTGAAGAAGCAGCATTTTATACCAAAATTTGGTAAACTGTACTGAAGATACAAAGTGCTATGAAGGCAAATGAGGGAGGACTTACCTAAGAGGTTAGGAAAAGCTTCTAGAGCTAACATCTCAACCAGGATGTCTATGAACTGCAACTTATATTACAAGGCAGAGAATCTGAAAAAAGTGCACTTATTCCAGGTGTAGGAGGTTGCTTGATTAAAGACCATGGAGAGGTGAAAGGGCGGGTTGTTAGGGAATACGGTGGTGGCCAGATATGTAAGAGGGAGTGGTGGGAGATAAAGCAGAAAGATATACACTGGAGCCAGAGTAAAGAGTCTGCTCTAGGCTACCCCATCATGGAGGTAGTACTAAAGGCAAAGAACTTGAGGATTGTATAACAGAGTTGACGATAGATACTGTCAACATAAGAAATGTTAAAATCTGTAGACAATTTTTATGAATTTATTTGAGCCAAACTAATGACAACTGCCAGGAAGCAAAACCTAGAAGGACTGAGAAAATGCTCCAGAGAATGGCATTTTTGTAGCTTATTATATATATTAGAATAAAAGGAGGAGATGTAAGGAGGGATATATGAACTCCCTTGGTGGTAGATTAGGAAAGTGGGAGAAAACAAAGCTGGGAAATCTCTGAGATTGGATAAAAGGCAAGATAGAAAAACAGGTACTTCTTTTAGATTGGTGGGTATAGGATAGTTAATAATTAAATCGTATAGCACATATATATGGTATACCAGAAACAAGATAACAATGAGGGGTTCTGTGGTCTCATGCTCTGGTGCCCACAGTTGTGCATTGAGGGGGGGAGGGGTCTGGAAAAGATTACTTTGACATTTCAAAGGTATGTTATCTTAGATTCAAAAAGACAATAGAGGTCCTGGCCAGGTAGTTCAGTTGTTAGAGCATCGTCCCATACACCAAAGTTGAGGGTTTGACCCGGGTTCAGGGTACATACAAGAATCAACCAATGAATGTATAAATAAGTGGAACAACAAATCGATGTTTCTCTCTCTTACTCTTTCTCTAAAAAAAAAAAAATCCATAAATTAAAAAAAAAAAAAAAGACAATAGGCTCAATTAAGGAAAAGATCGATCTTTGTCAAGGAAGCTACAGAGCTGGTACATGATCACCCACCGTGACCTGCTTTTAGTTAGAAATTTTTATGTTCAGACTATCCTGTTGTGATTACTTCTGGCCTCTGAGTTTATAAGGCCCGCCATGCAGGCCTCCCCCGAGCTTCTCCGGTTTAGTACGTGGCGCCTTTTTCATTCACAATACAGAGGGATTAATTCATCCCTAGGCGCTCCTGGGCAGAAGATAACTAGCAGCGCAATCCAAGAAGCCCTGTGGAGACTCAGTCACGCGCTGTGAACCAGGACGTGGCAGCCAGGCGGCCGCGCCCACACGCTGCTGGGAACAAGGGGCTGGAGCCCGCCATCCCCGCAGGAGTCGGCACCAGTGTAGGACGGGAATCCGGTCCACGCAACTAGGCGCGCTGGCGGGGACGTGGCGCTTTCCAGCCAATCCCGGCTACTCGATTGGGGGACCAATGGCTACCCAATGAAGCTCTGCGTCAGCTGCGGGTTTGTTGTTGATTGGTCGGAAAGCCACTGGCGAGGCGGAGGGGGCGGGGCGCGGAGCCGCTTCCTGTTAGGCGGTGCTTGCGCGCGTGAGCTGAGCCGGTGGGTGAGCGGCAGCTGCGGCACCCTGGTTCTGAGTGCTACCTGAAAAGGTAAGTACAGCGGAGCTCGGCCCTTTCGTATCAGCCTCGTCCCTTTTCGCTTTCCTTTTTTGTCCTCAAGGCCTCGCTCCCGGCACAGCACCTTGTTCCTGGCCTGTGTTTCTGCTAGTTCGGGGACCTGGGGCCTGAGCCGGCTCGCGACCCTGTGGCCCTCGGCGCGCAGCCAGGGTGGGAGGCCGCCGCTCACCTTCCAGCGCGCTCTGGGAAGGGGCTTCGGTCGCAGCGAACTCCGGCTCCCGACTTTACGTCCTGTGCGATACTGTTTTGTGCCTGGCTTGCCACGTCCTCGTCCTTCGTCCCTGGGCCCGCCACTCACCGAGCCCTCGGACTAGAGGGTCACTCTTGTTTATATCCTGAAGGTCGGAGGGCAGTCGGGTAGTGTTATTGTAACAGCTCCCTGCCACCTTCCCCTCGCGAGCCTGCTCGTGTCTGCCAACCCCTCCCCATCCCCAAGGCCACATCCCGAGAGTAGGGTGCATCTGCCAGGAAAGTCGTGTTCGTTGACTTTAAGGGTGTAGAAACAAATGGGGAAAGAAAGCATGAACACAGTATGTGATATTTTTTAATGTTCTAAATTTTAAAGAAAAACCGAATGTTTAGATTTTTCATGTTTAGCCGCATACTTCAGTCAGCGACGGAAAAAATGTTTTAAAGGCATTATTAGGGAATTGTATTTTTACATTGTCTTGTTGCTTCTAGAGCCCCAGTGCCTAATCCTGATTTTTAGCATGTCCCAAGTTAAAACTTAATTCCCTACAGCTGCCCTGAGAAAGTCTAGTAGTGTGGTTTGCAGTTCGAAAGCTGCTTTTGCATCAAGGCAAAAGCTCCTTGGGTCTCCTGATAAAACTTAAGGGACTTCTATCTCAATTCCTAAGTGTATAAACTCCCAGAATAGTGTCTCTGAGAACTTAATTTCATTTGCTTCCTGGCATGGACTATGAAGTCAACATTAATAAATCTTTAATAAGGTTGCTGGGAGGTAGAAAACTGTCATCTCTGATAAATTAGTCTTTGTCATAGAATGAAACTTGACATAAGACAAATACATGCTTGTTTTTTTGTTTTGTTTTTCTTGTTAATCCTCACCCAAGGATATTTTCCCATTGATTTTTTTTTTTTTTTAGATAGAGTGGAAGGGGTGGGGGGGAAGAGAGAGAGAAAGAAACAAACAAACATCCATCCATATGTCTTTCTCACATCCATTGGTTGGTTGCCTCCTGCTCGACCCCAGTGCAAACCTGCAACCCAGATACGTGCCCTTGACCAGAAGTTGAATCCGAGACCCTTTGGTCCATGGGCCTACGCTCTAACTGCTGAGCAAAACCGGCCAGGGCAGTAAGGCGAATACATGTCTGACCTCATTCAGTAGATTTAGTTAACCAAATACCATTGACCTTCACTGAAGAATATGTAGCACTGTACAGTGTACAAATGAGGGTCTACATAAGTAACCTGTACATTGCATTTGTGTGTAGAGAGGATGAGTTTACTTAGGCATAATCTGAGTTTTCAAGGGGTCTTCAGTAGGATCCTTTTGAAAATCACATCTAAGAGAACCATGAGCCGACAAACATGAACTGAGTATGTCCGAGTATAAGTATTGTATGGTACTCATACAACTTTGAAATCAACTCATCACTCAATATAATCAGTTTTCTTCCATTCATCCAGTGATGTGTCAAAGATACTTATTGGTAGTATTTTATATGCATTGCACCAGTATAGATCAGCAGTACATTGATAGTAACACAGATTTTTCTATAACATGGGTATGCCAGGGGTGTAGGAATGACAGAGGTGTAGCCAAGGGATAGCCATTGGAGATACTTGCCAGGTCATAGATTTTCTATGAACTCTAAAATATAGCTGTTGTTGATGTTGTAATTTAAATAATTAGAGTTAAGACTGCTGAAATAACACTTTGCCTGTTGCTGGCAATCCAGTAAGGAGAATTGGAGATTGGGGAACATCAATAGGCAGGAACTGCATTGCTGCCAAGCACAGTCCAACTAATCCAGTAAAATGTATTGGTATATTAAAAGTACAAACACTATATTAGGGACTGTAGAGGAATATTAATTTATATTAGCTGAGATCCCTGCCTTCTAAGAAGGTAGCTTCTATAGGGGTGTTAAAGAGACGATTAGGCAAGCCAGTGTGGCTCAGTAGTTGAGCGTTGACCAAGAGATCTTCAGTTGGATTCCCGGTCAGGGCACATGCCCAGGTTGTGGGCTAAATCCCCAGTGGGGGGCATGCAGGAAGTGGCCAGTTGATGTTCTCTTTCACTGATGTTTCTCTCTCTCTCTCCCTCTCCCTTCCTCTTCTCTCTCTAAAATCAATAAAGGAAAAAAAGACAATTTAATGTAACCTCTGGTCACTATTGTGGAATGGTACAAGCAAGTTTTATAAAAGTTTAGAGGAATGGGTACAGAGCACTTCCAGCTGGAGTGATAATATGAGATAGGTCTTTTCATCTACGATTAAAAACTTATTTATAGACGTTTGGCACTGAAGGGAGGTTGAGCTAAAATAACTACAAAATTCTCAAGGACTTTATGCATGCTACATACGCACAGCAAAATTAAAACTAGAAGCCAAGGCTCTTGTCCCTACATTTTGCATAGCATTCCTATGGCAATTAATTATGTATTAAAGTTTTATCAACCAAAAGAAAACTCTTTTTCCCCAGGATTTTTAGAACCTTTTTTCTTAAAGAAAATATTTTATTCTGTAGCCAGAAAAATGTAGCTTGTACTGGATTGCTTTAGTAGTAGAACTGATGAAGCCTGAGTAATAATACTTTGTCATTCTCAAGATTTTCTTCTGCTGCCATATTTTGCACTTTTATGTACACAACTGTCTTATAAATGTATGCCCTCACTTACACAAACAATTCATTAGAATATATTAATAAACTGCCTGGCCAGTGTGGCTCACTGGTTGAGCATCGTCCCATGCACTAAGAGGTTGACGGTTCAATTCCTGGTCAGGGCACATGCCCAGGATGCAGGCCAGTCCCCAGTGGGGGGCAGGCAGGAGGCAGTGGATCAGTGTTTTCTCTCATGGATATTTCTGTCTCCCTCTCCCTCCCTCTCTCTCTAATATCAATAAAGAAAAATGTTTAATAAAAAAAAAAGAATGTGTTAATAAATGAATTTAAATTTGCTCTGTCACAGGAGAAGCATTGAATAAATGGTTTTCCGTTATCATAACTCTTATCAAATCTTGAAGGATAATATTACTTTAATGTGATAATCCATTGGTAGTACTTGTCCCAAGGTTTGTAAGTAAAGAATGACAGAACCCTGGCCAGTGTAGCTCAGTTGATTAGAGCATCGTCCCATACACCGAAAGGTCTTGGGGTTTGATTCCCGGTCAGGGTACATGTCCAGGTTAGGGATTCAATCCCTGGTTGTGGGTGCATATGAGAGGCAACTGATCAATGTGTTTCTCTCTCTCTCTCTCTCTCTCTCCCTCTCTCCCTCTCTCTCTCTCCCCCTCCCTCCCTCCCTCTCTCTCCCTCCCTCCCTCTCCCGTCCTCCCTCTCTCCCTCCCTCCCTTCCTAAAATTAAAAAACAAAGAATGATAACCAAATAGCTTTAATTTCTAGATTTCATAACCAGGGCCTTAGTATAGTTAAATTGCTATCAGGCTGTCCTGTCCTTGTCTCTGTCCTGCGCACGTGTGCACAGACACACACGCCCTACAATTGAAGTAGACATTTAAGCTGTGAGATCCTGCTTTTGCTGAATTATAGAGGAATGCCTTTTCTTTCCTGAATATCCAACTCAGAGAACTGGAATTTTACAACCACACCCATTTCTCCCACTTGTTAACATTGAGCAATGGGTCTTTGGTCAACCAGAATAACTGTGGGATCATTCAGTGCTAATGTTCTTGAGAAGTTGAATTTAATCCAGGCATCTAAATTTCCCTGAAACAGTTTACTTTGTGTTCTGTTGACCAACATTTTTTTTTTTTTTTTTTATAAAAAATGACTTGAAGGAAGAGAGGAAAAAGGCAAGAATTTAGAACTTTCAAGGAAATTTTTGAATGGATGAAATAAACTGTTTCTTAAGGCTTATTGTTATTGAAAGAAATCCAAGCTTGCCTGGCTGGTGTAGCTCAGGGGTTGAGTGTCAAGCCATGCACCAAGAGGTCCGGGTTCGATTCCTGGTCAAGGCATATGCCCAGGTTGTGGGCCAAATCCCCAGTGCGGGGCATGCAGGAGGCAGCCAGTTCATGTTCTCTCTCATGGATGTTCCTATCGCTCCCTCTCTCTTCTTCTCTCTCTAAAATCAATCAATAAAGAAAGAAATCTAAGCTTATGCATTAATCATCTTATAAATTTACTGAAACAATTCATGAAAATAACTTTCAGAAGAAAATTATTGGTGACATACTGCAAAAGGATGATAGTTAATTGATATATTTTCAAGCCCTTTTATTTGTGTCTCTAACATGGTACTGTGCAATAGAAATATAATACAAGCCACATAAAGTAATTTTAAATTTTCATGAGAGAATTTAAAACGTGAAATTAATTTCAATTAATCCAATAAATACAAAATATCATTTGTTTGACAATAAAGTACAGTATAACACATTTTCACACTAGCTACATTTTCTTTTCTTTTTTTTTTATCATTCGAGGACTTTTTCCCCCCAATTTTGTTCAGATAGAGAAACATCCACGCAAAAGGGAGACACGACCCCAACCAGGGCTGGGGACGAATTGTACCTGCCCTTGGCCAGAATCAAACCCGTGACTCATTGGTCCGTGGGCCGACACTCTAACCGCTGAGCCAAACCAGCCAAGGCAACTCTAGCCATATTTTAAGTGCTTGGTGGCCATGTGTGGCTAGTAGATAACTGTCCTGGGCGTGCAAGTCTAGATTTTTTTTTTAATCCTCACGTGACATTTTTCCATTTTTTGTTCAGATAGAGTGGGAGGGAGAGAGAGAGAGAGAGAAACATCGACGTGAAAGGGA